TATAATTCTTTAATACATTAATAACAATATATTATAATTTTAGAATATTTAATTAAAAGTAATTGTAGCATTGTAGTTTTTATTGTAGTTGCACTTTTTTATTCAAGTTTAAAATTGGGTATTTTCACTTTTGGACTCATAGTCTATTGTGTAAATAAATTGTTCTTTGAATTTTAGATTTTAATATTAATGGCAAGCCTCATATTTAAATTATTTCAATTTTTTAAATTTGAATTTAAAACATCTGCTTGGAAGGTAATTTTCTTGCACTGCATGCAGTGAATTATGAAATGGACTCCTTTACTACTGCTTATATTTCGATATTCTAGCTTGCCTAGTGGAATTAATGATAAAAGATAACTTAAAATTTGCTTTTAATAAACACAAATATTTTAAATTTGTGAGGTTTGGTTGTTCTGTGTGGGCTTGGGGTTTTTTTTTGGCTAAATAGTTTTTTTTCTTAACTAAATCAAATTAAAAGGCCTCTGAAATATTACACAAATGTAGGGGATGTGATAAAGATACTACTTCAAAGCCAAGACAATGCTTATTGCTACTAAAAAAAAAAGTGGCATTCACAACTGGAAGCTCAAGTTTAAAGAATTATACTTTCTTGTTTTTAAGAGAAAACTGAGAAGAGTATTTTTGTGAAGCCTAGCAAAATCTGTTGACACTTTGCTGATTCCAAGTTTTAAGTTGTCTGTAGCCATTGATTCATAGTGTTTCCTTTCCCTTTTCAGTAAAACCCGGAGAGTTGAAAGCTAAAATGATGTTTTCTTTTATTAGTATCTAGCTTGAGAGCAGTATTAGTTCAGCCCTTTATAACATAAACTGGTTTCTGGTGTATCTGGAAAACTGAATAATCTTTCATTCAATGTTGTAGTCACATCTCTCACCTTTTCTTAGGGTTATTGCAAGATAAGCGAATGGAGATGGATAAGCATGGCCTCAATGTTGGAGATTACAATCGTGTGGTTGGAAAAGGCCCTGGTTCTCGTCCTCAAATTTCCAAAGAGTCTTCCATGGATCGCGGTCCTTACTTTGATAAGGTTAGTAGGTGTCTTACTGGTGGACCCTTCTAAACTTCTTTGACTCTGCATTCTAAGTAGTTACCTGTGTGCTCCTTAGCTTTCTGCATTTAGTGGAGAGGAAAATTAGGGCTTTCTTGTTAATCCATAAGATAAGTTTTATTCTTTTTAACTTACTGATATATAATACTAAGCACTTTCTGTAGCCCATTTGCAGTGCAAATGACTAACCTGATCTCTTTTGTTTTCTGCCTATTTCCTGCTGGTGCTGGACTGTCATGTGACTCTTCCCTTCTGTTCCTGGCAATGGTTTCTCCCTTCTGCTTGCTTGCTGGCTGGTTGTTGCGCATCGGTTTGTCTGTCCAATCAGGATGGCATTGTAGCAGACGAGTCCCAAAACATGCAGTTTATGTCCAATCAAAACATGAAGCTTCCCCCTTCAAATAATGCACTACCTAACCAAGCCCTTGGCTCCCTAGCAGGGCTGGGTATGCAAAACTTGAATTCTGTTAGACAGGTAAGGCTGTGTGCATATCCTTGGCATGTTACTTGACAGCATTTAATACCTTTTGATATAACATCCTAGCTACCTATGTGATTGATATGTGTTTAACTTCTAATTCAAATGTATAGGGGTGGGAGAAGCAGCAAAAGAGGTTTATTGTCACTAACTGTCCATCCTTTCCCCAGAATGGCAATCCCAGTATGTTTGGTGTTGGTAATATAGCAGCACAGCCCAGGAGCATGCAGCAGCCTCCAGCACAACCTCTTAATTCATCTCAGCCTAATCCACGTGCGCAAGTGCCTCCTCCATTACTATCCCCTCAGGTAACTGAGTGCATAAAACATTCTGTGTATAAACTACCAAAATGCTGCTTTAGAAAATCGTTTTTTGTTTATTGGTGTTGCTGATACTTATTCTGTAAATATTTGAAACATATTTGGCTTGATGAGTGTTTCAGAAGCTAGGCAACTGTTGACCAGAGGTTGTAATATTCTACATCTAGTATAACTAATTGCACGTTACTGTCAGTCACTCTTCATACTGGTCTGTTTTGCAGGTTCCGGTATCATTACTGAAGTATGCACCAAACAACGGTGGCCTGAGCCCACTTTTTGGCCCACAACAGGTAGCCATGTTGAATCAACTGTCCCAGTTAAACCAGCTTTCTCAGATCTCCCAGTTACAGGTAAGCTAACAAAGCTAGTCACTCTGTGTTCTGTTTGAAAGTCTAAGTAGAGACTTATGTCAGCTATAAACTGTTCTTAAAAAAAACACCACAAAACACTGTCTCCTAGCGGTTGTTGGCTCAGCAGCAAAAAGCGCAGAATCAAAGAAGCATGCCTTCTGGTGGTCGTCAACAGCAGGAGCAGCAGGTAAATAAATACGTTTATTTTTAACTTTTCAAACTATCTTTAAAAACTGTTTTTCATCTTGAGCTGCATTTCTTGTTATAAATTATACTAAAGTGTGCAAGAGTGAATGGGATTTTAAAGGACAAGCTTTAAAGGAGTGACTTAGCTTAATGTTGGGGTTTTGCTGTGCTGAGATGCTCAGAGCACAAAGATGCATTTCATTGTCTTTCTTTAAATGTGGAAAAGCTTTTGCCTATTTATATTGTAACTGCTCTGTTTTTTTAAGGGTCGATCTCTTAGTATGCAGCAACAGATGATGCAACAGTCCCGTCAGCTTGATCCAAACCTGTTAATGAAGCAGCAAACTCCACCCTCTCAACAGCAGTCACTCCATCAACCCACCATGAAATCTTTCCTTGAGAACGTCATACCCCATGCTACTCCTGAGCTACAAAAAGGGCCATCACCAATAAATGCATTCAGCAGCTTCCCTATAGGTGGGTTTCTTCATGCTAATTTCATACAGTCAATTAATGCTTATGTGACATACAGCCTTTCTTTTCACATTGCCTGCCTCCTCTGAAAACAATAATGATTATAATCCTGTTAACGCTTATGATTTTAATGGAAGAAGTAATTCTTTGTGGGGCTTATCCAGTTATCTTTGTTCACCAAAGAACTTTTTTCAGAAGTGCACTCATTCCCAGAAGTGACTGTCTGTATTTCAGTGCAAAATGCTTTACATTCTTAAAGAATGTCTGTCTCCTTTTCTTTCTTTTTTATCCTCTGGGTCCCGAGGATGATACAAAGTCCTTTTGCAGTTATGATTCCTGGAGCTAAAAGACTTTTAGAAGTAGAATCCATACAAAGAATCCATTGATGTGGTCTCATTTCTTTGGATTTTAAAAACGTTTTCAATGAATGTGGAATTGCATAGGTAGAACAAAATGTTAATTTCCCTTTTAGTGGTTTTGTCCAGGAAAGAAAGCTTTTAGCTCTGCATTTTTAAAGAATGGTTGTCTCATTTCAGGCAAAATGTCTGAACATTTATAAATACAAATATTTCCTGTTTCTTTCTCCCTACATTTCCAGGCTTCTGTCCAATTTCTACTTCAGAAATTCCAGGCTTGTATATTTTCTCCTTACTTTAGGTCCCTTTTTAATGCTACCTTATACTTACTACAACTGTATACCATTTACCTCTTGTTCCTTATCCTTATTTTTTTCCTCCTCTTCAGTTTGCTTTTCTTCTACGTTATTCTAATCGGGTCATTTTTGTTGGGCTGATTTCCTTTGCATTCTCATTGCCCTTTGTAGAAAACTTTGTTTAATAGAGACTGCTGCTGAAATCCTTGTGCTTATAGGTGGAGTGTTATGGAGCCAGTGGGTCGGTGCAGGCCATGCTGTTGCACTGCATGTGGCACACTGGAATTTTGCTTGTGGCCAGTCTTAAGTCCAGCCTGCTGCTTAATAGTTGCTGCTGATGATTGGCATCAAGATCTAACTAGTGCTTTGATTCGAAGGGCAAGGCATAAAAATGAAGTTTGTTTAGCTATTAGAGACACTATGTTAGGCCTAATGACAGGAATATTTAACTTTCTTGCCAAACTTCATGCTGAGTAATTGCATCCTGCCTACGTTAGGTTCCTTTCTGTTTCATTTCTTGAGTTGAATTGTTGTATACTATTGTTAAATAGCAGCTTTCTCACCTTAATCATTGCCACATTTCAGGAACCTGCAGTATATGTAAGATTGCTTTGAGATCCCTCAGGAATCTGCTGCAGTATACGTAAGAATTCTTTGGGATCCCTTTGGAGTAGTACTGTATAGTGACAGAAGCTAGTGGAGCCACATTCAGTCCACAAATAAAAGCTTAAGGGTAGAAATAGTAAGTTGCTGGAATTTCTTCACCCTTTAGTGAAAAACTGAGTCAAGAGGAGTATTGGTAGCATCCTCCAAGTGCACAAAGTATAGTAGTATAGTCATGCGAGAAGGAGCTGAACTTGCCAAGTTGTCTTCTGGAAAATCTTGCAGGTATGTTCTTTTCTCCACGTTCTAATACTAGCATCAGGAGACCTAGCAACGAAAGCAGGGAGATCTTGTTTACGTTCTGGGGAACTGAATTTGTCGAGATTCACTAGATGTATGTTCGTCAAAAGCAGTTGGGGGTGGGTGGAGGGTGTCCTTCTCTCTAGTTGATCAGTGCTGCAGTCATATCCTGATTCATTTATAGAATTAAGTATTTCTAATATTAAAAATACCTTTTTCTGCCAAATAGCGAGTATAGCTGAACAATATAAAATCTTCCACAATTGGATATGAAAAATTACTTCTGGGAAGACTGTTTACATTCTCGGTTATGTCCAGGGACTGATGTTCATCCGTCAGTCCACAGGTTTCAAATACGGAGTGGTGGACATGGATCCGTGTCTGCCAAGGGGCTGGCATTATTAGCCTTATCAGCTAGGTGTGCCTATTTGCCAGCTTGTGATCTTTCGAACCCTTTTTTTAGAGATCTGTCTTCTGCAGGCTTCTTCCAAGTTAGAAGAAAGGTTATTGTTGTGCACAGGTTATTGCTCTGACAACAGCAAAATGCCAGAGGGAGAGGTGTCAGAAACTGGATTGATTGGGCTTTTCCTTTTTTCTGTTTCAGCTATTGATAGTTATTACATTTCTTAAAACTCAGCTGTCCTGTTACAAGGCACTTTCTCTGAGGCTTTTCAAGAGACTGCTTTTCTGGCATCAACATCTGCTCATGCCTTTAAGAAAAACAAACAAAAAACCCCAACCAAACAAAAACAAACCAGCTTCTATAAGGCAGTGAATATCGACTTAGGAACAAAATTAAGCACTAGTTTCCAGTGCTGAATGAAGGTGTTTCTAGTAGAGATTTGAGAAGTTCCCTATGTGTCTTTGGCCCTAAGTTAAAATGTTGTAGTGGTTTATTTTCAGAAATGAAGTAAATGGATCTGAAGGGCTGGAAATGTAACCAGGTATGGTTGTGAATGAAGGATTCCTACAGACCTGGAAAGAGAGCAGGCATGCCAGAGTGAAAAGCGTGGGCACATTGTTCAAGCCCAGAATAGCTGGTCCTCGCAGGTATTTGGACTGATTTGGGTTGGCATTGTGTTGATTCTCTGGCAGATACACGTTTTGAAATACAGACAACAGCTTAGAACAGGAGAAGACAAGTTTTGTTTGCTTTCTCTTGCTGTGGTTTTAAGTGTTCAGTGTGAACAGGATAAATGGAGGAGGGGAGTAGTGCGACTTGTGCAGTTCCACGCAAAGTGCTTATCTGTCTGTGCTAGTGTGGTTCAGAAGCTGGCGAGGTGTCCTGTTGAACAGCCCAAATAAGAATGGGTATCTGCAAGTTGTAACTGCAGATACCAGTACGTAACTTTTGCTGAATAGGGATGAGTACAGACACACCCTCTTGCTGAGAAAAGTGTTTTTTATAACTGAGCGTAGCTCTTCAAAGTACAGCTCTTCTACTTTTCTCTTGCTGAGAAAAGTGTCTTTTATAACTGAGCATAGCTCTTCAAAGTACAGCTCTTCTACTTTGTACAGATGAGATCAGTTGTTATGCTGGTGCTCGACTGGTGTTGTAAACATCTAAAAAATGTGGCATTTCTATTTTAGTTTCTCTTAACTTCCTCAATGGCTTCTTCCACTTCCATTTTTGCATGAAAACATCAGCTGAGAACTTCAGAGTGCTTTGCATTGCTTAGCATAGCTTCTGTCTGTAGTAGGTTCACTGTATTAAATGCTAGAATGTTTCTCAAAAACAGAGACTTGGAAGCATGAAATAACCATAGTAATATGCTGTTAAATGTTTATTAGGACAATAGTGGCAATTAGCAGAAGAAAAATATTTGGTCTGTATTTCATAAGCTATATATGTTTTTAGGAATGAACTCAAACTTGAATGTAAACATGGATATGAACAGTATTAAAGAGCCACAATCTCGATTGAGGAAATGGACTACAGTAGACAGCATTTCTGTGAACACATCGTTAGATCAAAACTCCAGCAAACATGGTATGTTAAAAGTGTCATTAAGTAGCATTTGACATTACACATCAGATTTTCACATTCTGTGTATCACGTTCTGCAGGTTCGCTATATTTAGGCCTGTAGTTGTAACTACTGTGTCGCTTGTAGCTGTCAGAATTTGTATTGTGTTGTCTGTGCCAAACTTGCTGCTTGTCTTGTACAGCAGCGCAATGCTTTCTTGAACGTTTTTACTTACAGAAGTGATCTTGTGATGAGATTTAGTAGAAACGTTGTGCAGAATTCCTTTTTTAACCAGACGTTAAGTGTGACTATTGCTACTAGTTTTATCTTAATCTGGATTGGAATGCTTCGTATATGTTTAAACCAAAAGCTTTTGATTTTCTAGCTTTCTTTCCCCCCCATCCTGCTGGCCTTAAGGTGATTTATGGGGATTTAACGCTGTGTGCACGCATTCTGGTCATGTCTGACATTTTTACTTACAGGTTTTGGTTATGAATGTATACGTTTGCATTCTAAAAATGGGGAGAGCTTAGAAGGGATAGACTAGTACCATTGCTGTACTTGGTTTTAGAGGAGGCGGACTTGGTTGCTTCATATTTCATTCCAGTAATCAGGATTCATATGACATTACAACTGTTTCAGTTGCTTGAAATCTCATCCAGTTAAAATTTGAGTCTATGCACGAAGGTTCTGTGTCTAAAGATAGTGATAAAATGTCTCCAGTCTCCTATTACTGTTCAGTCTTCAGATTGTTTGGATATTTTTAGATTTGTCAGCTGTTTTACTACTATGAAATGACTTGCTGCCGAAAGCATCTAGTGGAGATATCCTGCTACTGCACTTCTGAACTTCATCTGATTGTTACAGATGAACAGAAGTCAGAAATGTTGGTGTTACTTCAGCTGTAGGTAATGTTTTCTGAGTAGTGGTAAGAATTTGATTATTTGAACTCCATATTGCATTGACTCACTAGTAAAAGCCATTTATTCCCTCAGAACTGTAGAATATCTTTGGCTTTGCTGTGTAATAACTTTTAAACTGCTCCTTACAGGACTTGCACAGAATCAAATAATTGTGTACAGTGCTTTTATTCCTTGCTCTTCCTCCAGTGATCCCCCCACCCCCGGACTATGAGTAGAATTTACAGAGCTGTGCAGTAGCTAAAGATCCTTCAGATTTTGTAGATGTTTATTCCAAGAGCCCTCCCATCATGGAATATATTCATCAGTAATACTACCCTGTTATCCAGTTGGGGTCTCTCAGCATGCTCTTACACTCCTGAATTAATGTTTTACTTAAATTTAATAAGTGTACTATTTTAATGAGATGATTTCATGGGAGATTATTCTTACGGTTTTCTCCTGAATTATTCAGAGACATTTCATTGTAGAGTATATAATCCTGTTTGACTTCCTATGTAACTTGACATCATAAGAGGACAGTGTGCTGCTATGTATTTCATGAATGCTTTACATGGGCATGTTTTTATATATATGTAGGTATATAAAAAAAATAGAAAAATTGGCTAAGAAAAATATTTGACTGTTTTTTTTTTTTCTTTTAATTAGGTGCTATTTCAAGTGGTTTTAGGCTGGAAGAGTCTCCATTTGTTCCATATGACTTTATGAACAGCAGTAATTCACCAGCCAGTCCTCCTGGATCTATTGGGGATGGCTGGCCCCGTGCCAAATCGCCTAATGGCTCTAGCAGTGTTAACTGGCCACCAGGTACGCAACGCCAGGGCTTACTCTTTGTGTGGTTCTTACTGCTCAGCTGTGTTTCTTCTGTGTTCCTTGGTCATTACATGTGGAGGGGGCAGGGAAACAGCCTACAGAAAAGCATTAAGGGTGTGTTTTTAGTAGATCGAAATTGAGAGCAGTAGTTTTATTGTACAAAGAGAAGTACATCTCGCTGCTTTGAGATTTTACCCTGGTGAGACGGGACCGGAAAAACTAGAAATGAAGTGAATAAAGTGAAAAGAAGACTAAATTAAGTCAATTAAATGCTTAAAAGGTTTTGGATTTTTAGTCATTAAGAGATGTATTGTTTAGACAGCTGTTTCCTGTTAAAAAAAAAAAAAAAAAAAATCAAAACAAGCTTCTTTTCTGAATCTCTATTCCTAGAGTTTCGTCCTGGTGAGCCATGGAAAGGTTATCCAAACATCGACCCTGAAACTGACCCTTACGTCACTCCTGGCAGTGTCATAAACAATCTTTCAATTAATACTGTGCGGGAAGTTGACCACCTCAGGGACAGGAACAGTGGTATGTTCAGATGCTACATTTTCTAATTGTGTACTAATCTTCCTTCAGTCACACAGAGAGACTGTTTACTTGGAGATGTGCTTGCTACTTGCTCGTCTCCTTGTTTATCTTTTGTATTGTGGATTTCACAGCTGAAAAGCTCATCTTTGGCTCAAGCACTGCTACTTGATGCAATGCAACAGATATTCCAAGAATGTGGGTAGAGTGAGCAAATGCTGCTGATCTGCATTCTGATGTAATTCTGTGCACAGAGAGGCAGTGTGTTTGAAAGTAGGCAACCAAAACTTGGCAGTCTAGCCATGGCAGTAATGTAACTAGCTTTGCTTGCAGTGAGTGCAGGGTGCTTCCTGCTGGTGAGCATGCTTGCCACCACATGCCTTTGGATCAAGGATGAGGACTGAGAAGAGTGGAGGAGGTCCCTCGTCTGACTGTGTGGACGTGTTCAGTCTGGACTACGAGTCATGCCTTTTAATTTTATTGCATTCGTGATGCACTGTGCTGTGACTGACTTCTGTCTTTATTATAGGGTCATCCTCATCTTTGAACACCACGCTGCCTTCAACTAGTGCCTGGTCATCCATTCGTGCCTCCAACTACAATGTTTCCCTCAGCAGTACAGCACAAAGCACTTCAGGTGATGTCTGCTTGTATTGCTCTGAGCTGGTGTTTCTTCCCCTTCACGTGCTTCAGGGGGATACTAAATGTTCATAAAAAGTAGTCCTGAGGTCTCGTCTGAGCGGTAACTTCACTACTTTTCAAAGTAGCTATTTCAATTTTACTCTAATTTAGCAGCTTTTATTTGTAGCAAGGTGACAGTTTCACCAGCATAGTGATTATGATTGTCTTTGTATGTCTTTTAGTAGCCAGAAACAGTGATTCCAAATCAACATGGTCTCCTGGATCAGTCACTAACACCTCTCTGGCTCATGAGCTGTGGAAGGTCCCTTTGCCACCTAAAAGCATCACTGCTCCGTCCCGCCCACCTCCAGGGCTAACAGGCCAGAAACCACCCTTGTCCACTTGGGATAATTCCCTTCGTTTGGGTGGAGGATGGGGAAATTCTGATGCCAGATATACCCCTGGTAAGGATGTCTTTTTGTGTAGGAAGGTTTTTTGTGTTATTATGAAGCTAGGGAGTGCATTTGGTTAGATAATCTGTCACTGGTAGCCAACATCTGTACCATTTGTCTTGCCAAAAGCAAAAACTGGTCTATATAACCTAAACTGCATTGTAGCAGACTGAATAAAATTGGGAGGGAGGGCTAGGTATTGTATGCAGTGGTAACATGAATGGCACTAATGTTTTTTCTGTCCTTAGTATGAACCATCTCTCCAAG